GAACTTTCTACTGTGAAGTTATTGGCCACTAAATTACTGCATATTACACCCCAGAAAATCTCAATGTCAGTTTCAGTTTCAAGGGTACAAGTCAATGTAGAAACTGTCAGTATCAGTTTCAAGGGTACTAGGATTGTTGCCTTGCCTATTACATGATTTTCTTGCACACATAGTAGTCTAAAAAATATGTTGCTGTTGATAAAAATCAAATGGCAAAAATGATTAATCTCTGATGTATCATTGTCGTTCAATAGTGGATTATGCTTTTGAATCTATATAGAATCATGAAACTTGAGAAACTGTATTAGAACACAAACATCTCTTGATAATTGTTATAGACCAAAGAAGGAATGAACTTCAAAACTTACAAAAGAAGTTTGTTGATAACACCCATTTACATGTGTTTAAATTAAGCTATGAATGGCTATATAAGAAATACTTACATATTCAGGAGAGATGTACTCATTTGGACAGAAAGGGTACCAGCTAATTTATTATTCCCAAGAAACCTGAGCATAAAGAAATTAATTCAAGGAATAAAGAGTACATGTTGGGAGTTTTTTTTTGAAACAATAGGGCATAAGATGTTTATTACAAGTAAGAGAGAGAACTCAAATTGAACAGTGCATCCGGAATCTGTCCAGTTAAATTGTTGAAGCTCAAATAGAGAAAACAACCACAAAAAAATAAATAAAATAAAATAAAAAGTTAGCAAATTATAATCATTGCAAATAATAAATGACTTGTGACCAAAATTCAAAAGTCAACATCAAAATTCTCTATACATAAAATAAAGTGATCCTAAAATAAAAATGTTCTAATAAAGTATTTTTGACAAAGGAACTACAACAGATTACATGATTAGCAAAACTACATGGTTTAGCCAACAAACTACATGGTTCCAAAATAGAAAATATATATATACCTTGGAGCTTAGAAAAAAATATACCTGGGAGATGGTGTTGAATCAATGACATTGCAACATATCTTCTCGAACTACATGAACTTGATGACTGGAATAAGCAAAAAGGGTAAAAGATCAATACCAACTGAGAAGGACCATCATTAGAGTTCCATTGCACAAAAATAATAAAAGCGCAAATCTAATAACCATTGAACAATATGTATTACAGACAGGTCATCACAACAACCAATCAGTGGACCCCATAGAAGCAAACAACTCAAATCAACTCAAGTTGATTAACATGATATCGGGTCAAAACTTCAATGTAAATTCAACATACTAGATCAATTATATGCACAACAAAAAGCAGAAGGCCGGACAATGAACCAACAGGACATAAATACCTCATCAAGTCATCAAATTGAAGAGGAAGATAGTCTGTCCTACAGTCATCCTCTTTATAAACCAGAAAAGCATAACAAACACAACTTAAAGCATCACAATAGAGATCTATCATGCCCTACAGTTATTATATAAGGCTCACTGACACATGGAACCCAAGAGCTAAACATAAGTTTGTTCCAATAGACAGGGCTCACAGAATAAAATAAAAAAACCTTACCTACAATAAGAATTTCTAAGCCAAAGTTGAGGATCATTCCAAATCATATTTCACTACTTAGTATATATTCAATATATTTAAGACTAGCCATAAACAGTGGTAAAAAATTAATGGGTATCAGTTTTGTGAACCGTTAATAGTGAACAAATGCATTGTCTTACAGCTAAAAACTTTAAAATAAAGGAAACTCATGATCAAAGCATAGACACCAAATCCTCTATTTTTATTGATAGGCTCTATTTTTTTTTTTTTTTTTTTTTTATTGATAGGCTCTATTTTTTTTTTTTTTGGGTTTGTTTTTCACATTGAACCAAAACACAAATAATGAACCAGGCCTTGATAAGCAGTCAACAAAAGTCGGACAATAATTGGTAAGCATCGATTTAACCCCCTAGCCCACTCAATGTGGAACAAATATACTTAGCTTGTGTTGTGTACCATTTTTAGCATGGAACCGACAAAGAAAGTTGTGGCATTACCATTACCCATTCAAAAACCATCACACAATATTCAATTGAAATATGGTAATTGCTATTACTACTGTATATTGACCATCATTTGCTTTCTCTTTTGTTTCATCTCCTGATTTTTCACTCAACAGGTGACCCCTGAAAGATCATACCTCTATTGCAACAGATAAATGACCCTTGCGCCCAGTTTGCTCCCCTTGAAGCTTCGGCTCAGGGTCCGTCCAATATAATAGAGACAGTTATTAGTCATTCAACTATTAACTATTGGAAATATACATCATCAAACAAGTTAAAAAGCTAAATATCAGCTGGTTCATTCAAGATATGAGATAGGAACTCTGACTTAACTGACAAAAATGCATGGAATGCTCAGATTCTAAAGAGCACTACATCTGATAGCTCAGCTACCAAAACATAACAATCAAAAAGCTATAAGCCTCTGACATACCATTTGCTTTTCAAACAGAGAACTCAGGTTGAGACCCTAAGATTTAGATATAAGTATTCAAAAGCGTTCATGAAGACAGGATTCATAGGTTGTTCTTCCTGTCTTTCCACGACAAGGTTTTGAGTGTCCTAGACATCAAAACAAAAATCACAATTAAAGTCACCCCCAATGCCCTATTCCTCCAATACTAACCGAAAGGGTAGATGATCAAATGTTTTTAGACTGAAATTATAAACAAGATATAGTTACCCCTGATTCATCGAAAATAGCATCCACATCGTTGAGACTAACATCCTCGTTTTCAAAAACAGAAGGCTTATATCCCTTTTCAAATTGGATGTCTAACATCATAATCACCAAATTTCATCTCAACCCAATTTCTACAAAAGGCATAATCAATTGCATTAAATTGTAACATGGTAAGAAATTCAATTTTTTTGTTTTTTTTTTGTTTTTTTGTTTTTTTTGGTTGAGGAAAATAGAACTAAATGACCAAACCATATGCTAGTGCAGCACTCTGTGCATTGGTTTTATTGTTGGCCATTAATGTTCATGAAGCTTGAGTTGAACCATGGGGGCAAATTGAAATTTTCACACTAAATTTATGGATGAATGTATATGCAATTTAAATATATATACATACTAATGTATATGCAATCAGAAAAATTTATACACTCATGTATATGAATATTTTATAAACTAAGGTCTACAATATTATTAATATTATTTTTCCAATTTGAAAATATAACCTAGAGACCTTAGATAAACAAACATAATCAAAACGATTACAAAATAAACTTTTTTTTTTTTTCTAATCGCAAAAGAGAAAACTTTATTGAATATTCTCTCTATTGAGTATTCAAACCAAAACCAATTTAGTATATACTTTTTACCATTCAATTTTAGCTTTTGATACTAAAATATTGGTGTCTATTATGTCGTAAATAAAAGTCTTTTTTTTAAGGTTACACAAGTATAAAAAGATTATTCAGTTTAGTATATACTTTTTACCTCAAATCCTGAAACCAACCAACAAAGAATATTTGGGTACATGTGTTTATGCAATTTTCACATGTTCTTCAAGTGATGCAAATAAATGGTTTCATCCAACTAAAGTGATTCAACCTCAGCCACAAATTATCCGCAGTCAAAACGGATTCCCTAACGGTTGTAAATGCACCTTGGGGCTTTGGAGCACCATACCCCTTTTACAAGGAAAGGATAAATCATCCCTCCCCACAACTCAGCAGAAAACAATCTCACCAAGAGAAACTATTCCTGATAGGTCTCCAAGCAAATCTCCTTTGGCTCTCCCTAAATCCGATCCAACAACCTTGGAGCATTACAAGAAAGCCCCCTACAAATTCCATCTCCTAATCATGGAATGGCCTCATAAACTGAGGGGCCCAAATGCCTCCACCACTGGAGGAATCATTAAAGTCTGCCACAAGAACTTGCTTATCAACTGAAATATAGTACAAATCAAGAAAAACATCCATCAGCGGCCAATGACCACACCAAATGACCTGCCAAAATCAAATGCTGTAACCATTCCCCACCCTAAAGAAAGAGAGATAGAAGAAATCGTACCAAACCCTCATAGTACTCTTCCAAAGGCCCACCCGCCCCAATACGAACATCTAATAGTATCTTTCCTACCCACCCAACATGCTGCCATATCTCCCCTCAATCACTCTTCTCCAAAGACTATCCCTCTTCTATGTGAACCTAACTATGAAAATAGATTTCCATAAATTACTATACAATCTTCCAATTTAGTCGATTATCAACCCTTTTCTTTTGTTATTGAAATTTCAACCAAATGAATAAACAATATAAGAAAGCCATTCATTTCCTAAATTTCAAATATGAACTTTTGCCAATTTCACCAAATATTCAGATTTTTTAGCCAATTTCTTTCTATCTGAAATTTGACCAATTCAAATTCGATCAACCACTCTAAATCCGCCTTCCGTGAAACCTGAGTAAATTCAGAAAATTGTAAAACGATGTTCTCAAGCAATCAGCTTAGCTATGATTTTCTCCATAGAATTACAACAATCCATTAAAAATTATAGTCAAAACAAGAAAATAGAGGCAACCTCTGAAAACTGTACAATAACATATTAAGAAAATAAGAGCAGATGGAAAAACTCCAAAATCTCTCTCTCTCTCTCTCTCTCTCTCAAATCAATCTACCCTAACCTAACTTGATCGTCGAAGCATCTGTCGGGGGATAATCTCCCCCTCTGGACCTTTTTGCAGGCACCCTTCGTGGATATCAAGGTCAGTAGGCCCGTTGGAAGCGTAGATCAGTCTGACCCATCCTCCATTTAAGTTATTACATTATCAGTGAGAAAACAAAACCTATGAAAAATAATTTATATTACAATTTATATTCTCAATTAAAAAGAAAAGAAATTGATGAAAAATAAACATATCAAAATAAAATTTGCAAATTTGCAAATTATTTTAAATAGACATCAATCATGAGTTTGCAAGTCATAAGTTTTCTTCTTTCTTTTTTTATTAAGAAAATAAGAGCAGATGGAAAAACTCCAAAATCTTAGAACTTCATTTTTGTAAAAATAATTTGGTAACTTCAGACAACATAGTGACCCAAATAATAAACTCACCACTTATAACTAAGGCACCACAAATTAACTAGCTCACAATTCAATCAACTCTATAAAATGAAAACAGAAGGGCCTAAATTACAAAGGTTAGTAACTCACAAGTATTCCTCCAAGATCCTCGGAAGAATATGCATGGACAAGTTTCCCTCTCTCTCTTTTCTTATACCTGGTGATTATTAAAGAAGGAAACAAAAAAAAACAAGTAAATAAATTTCAAAAAAAAAAAAATGATCTAGCATTGATGTGGGCAACCATATTGACCTTCCTTGGGGCCGAGTAGACTTGACAACTGTATTAGTCTCTGTGGTGGCATCAGTATCAACATCTTGAACATCATCCTTTTCAACAGCTGCAAGATGCATAGAAAGAGGAACCACATCAAACTATCATGATATTATTAAGTGCAACCTAAATTCATTTTCATCTTGATGTACCTTCATCCTTGATTTCTGCTACTTGCTGCAAAAATAAAAAGAGAGATTTACAGACACAAAAACATAAGAACAATTTTTTTTAAAGCTTATTAAATCTAATTCGAAGATAAATGTGAGAATTACCACTTTCAATCTCTTCAGGATGTTGTCAAACTGTGATGTATCAAACGCCCAATTATTTTTGGGTTCATCTACACTAATACCTGTTGTAATTTTTAAACTGTCAAACTGCTCTATATATCTTGAACTGTTCTTATTCTTCTAATAAATGAAAAACTCATACCATAACAAGTTTAACCTTATTAGCTCCTTTGATTCATAAGACAATTAAAAAAATAAAAATAAAAGAACTCTCTGTTCTAGGCAACAAAATAGAGGATGAATTTGATAAATAAACAAAAATCAGAGCAAAAAAAGAACCTGCAGTGTCTTGTTTGTCCTTAACCCTGGCATATCCTTTGATCCCTTGCTTCTCTTTCCTAAGCCCTTCACCTTCTTCCCATCCCTACAACACAATTCCATCTCCACACCATCAAAATTCATCGAGCACACACATTACGCATACATACAGATTCAAACCTGAGCTGAAGCAACTATGTTATGAAATTTCAAAATTTTTTTTTTTGGTAATCTTATATTGGCTATGTGTATATATATATATAGAGAGAGAGAACTAACCATTTGTTTCATGAGACGAAAAGCGGCGGACTTTCTCGCGATTCTGACGTAGCAAATAGGAGCTTCAGGTGCCGCCATTTTTCTCTCTTTCTCTCTCCCTCTCAAAACAGTGCAGAGAGAGAGGAGAGAGAGGAGAGAGAGAGGAGACCACGCAGCTCAACAAGCTCAAGAAGCCCTAGAAACTCAAAATGTACATATTTAACTCCACAGGACATCCAAATCAAACACCAGTTTCGAGCTAGAGAGAAACTACAGCCAACTAATAGCATGTACAAATGCAGTCAAACGAAAGGACAATTTATGTAACAAACCGAGGAGAGAGAGAGAGAGAGAGTACCGACTAAAGTTCAGAAAAAAAAAGTAGACTATTTGCCGCCATCAGAGCTTGAAATGCGAGTAATCGAGGGGTCAGAGTTCAGACCTGAGCTTCTGGAAATCACTAAATCTCTGAATCTTTGCAAATGAGACGGTGGAGCTCGCTACCTCGCCGGTGCAGCTTCGAAATCGCTTTGATGGAGCTTCGATCTGAATCTTCGATGGAGCTTAGATATGAATCTTTGATGGAGTTTTGAAATTGCTTTGATAGAGCTTTGATCTGAATCTTCGATGGAGCTTAGAGAGGGTTGAGAGAGAGAGAGAGAGAGAGATGTGTGCGTATAAGGGTTGAGAGAGAGAGAGAGAGAGAGAGAGAGAGAGAGAGTTCTGAATCTTCGATCGAAATCGTTTTTGTGTAATATGCTTAGAGAGGGTTCTGATTCAGAATAAGGTTTCACAAAAGGAGCGCGTGTGGCTACCGCATTTAGAGGCATTTCCGATTATAAAACGGTATCGTTCTATTTAATAGAATATGCGGCGTTTATAAAACGCCGTTAATACTAATAACAGTGACGTTTAAAAAAACGTCGTTAAAAAAACGCCACCATATTCCCTTTTTCTTGTAGTGCTGATTTCTTATAAGTTGGATGAGATGCCAATTATGAACATTAGGTTATCAGCCTGCTTTTTTTCAAAAGATCAAATGTGTGTGGGAGCAAGCGTGTATGTGTGTGTCTCAAAGAGAGAGAGGGGAGAATACCACCTGTAAATTTTTGGCTGCACTTGATCTTTGTGACCCTAAACTAGACAGAATTATTCTTTGAATTCACATGCAAAATAATCTGTACCTGAATACACGTTTCCAGATGAGTTAGATATGACTTGATGGGGTTATTTAACTGTACATGAACTAAACTTGATTTGGAGAAGAGAAAAAAAAGAAGAAAAAGGCAACAAAATGCTATATGTAATTTGTTAGAAGCTCCAGGTAACAGATCACATATTGACATATATAGCCAATTTGCATAAAAAGGCAGGCATTAACAGATAAATAAAAATTGAATCATACGATCTGAACTCCAAACAAGAACTGCATACATGATTCAATCATCCAAGTGGACTGTTGTTGCAACTTCATAATTTAAACTAAGAACACAAGAGTAAGGTTCACATAATTCAAAATTAAAGGCATCAAGTATGCAATTTTCATATGTTTTGTTGGCTCGCAATTGAAATGAGAAAGATCAAAATAATTTGGTAACACAAATATTAGATTCTGAAACAGACTGAATTAAAAAAGAAAATGGGAGGGGGGGCTGGGGGTGAACTTAATACCTTAGAAACAAACATTAAACCTCTCGTCTATATTGTAATGGAAATTTCATCTTTTAATATACTCTTCACCTGATTTCTTGTAATTTGGATGGGATGCCAGTTATGAACATTAGGTTTTCAGCCTGCTTTTTGTCAAAAGAAGATAAAAAGATCAAATATGTGTGCGTGTGTGTGAGAGAGCGAGAAGGGGGGAAGAATACCACTGCAAATCTTGAGCTGCACTTTATTTTTGTCATGTTTGTTTTAGCTTTGCTAGCTTTCCTTTTCAACTTGGAAGCACTTAGCCCTTCCAATAGCGTACGCCGATCCAGTTGATGCGAGAGTTCCAGCTCAATCACCTATTTCCAGCAAGCTACCTTCATTCAATTCAAATATCAGATAGTGATTGATCCAATTATTTACATTAAAGAAAGATTAGCACTTGCTAATTATAAGAGTGTCACACTTAATCAATTAGGGATAGAGGGATAATACCACCTACAAATCTTCAGCTGCACTTGATCTTTGTGACCCAAATCTACAGATAAAATTAGTCTTTTGGCTTCACATGCAAAATAATTTTTACATGAATGCACGTTTCCAAATGGGTTAAAGATGACTTGATGGGTTATTTTACTCTGTACATGAACCCAACTTGATTTGGGGATTTTTTTATTTTTAAAAAAAGGCAACAGAATACTATATGTAATTTGTTAGATGCTCCAAGTAACAAATCATATATTGAAGTGTCTCAAAACAAAGAAATTGATTTATATATATACACATATAGCCAATATGCAAAAAAAGGCAAGCATTAACAAACAAAATTAAAATTGAATTGAACTGAATCATACGATTTGAACTCCAAACAAGAACTACATACATGATTCAATCCTCCAACTTCATCTTTAGATTAATTGCCACCTGCTCAAACTACCTCTGCACATGCAACAAATCAATATGATTGACCCAAGTGCGATAATTGGAAATGTCAACTCAACTCAGGTGACTTTTGCATACTCTAGGTAGCATGAAGCACTATGGCTTTTAGAATTAGTGATATACAAAATAGCATGGAACACTTATGTTTAAGGACATGTCATCTGAAGCAATGCTTTGAGGAACCCACAGTTAGGGCACCATGTCATTGTGAGTTTTAGATCATATAGCTTCAGCAACCAAAATGAGATTATTTGAAATTTGAACATCAAAAAAGCATTGGTTCAAAATTGAAACATGTCATTTCATCAAATCCCATAGATGATTCTTTAGGAGGGATACAAATTCCTCAAATTTCAGGTACATTCTAATCAAACCTACAGATGATTTTTTAGTATGGATACAAAATCCTCAAATTTCAGGAACATTCTAATCAACGTATAGATCATTTTTAGGAGGAATACAAAATCCATAAAATTAAATTTTGATTAACATTGAAAATTGGCCTTTTCAATTGGTTGTAGATAAATGAAATAATTCCCATGTTCTGAAAACAAAGAAGACTAATATAATTAGGAAGTCATTTTTCTCTTCCCATTTTCTGAAAATTAGCTCATTCAATTCACATGTCTTTGTTAAAAACAACATAAAAACAACATTTGCATCATGAAGATTGATGCAATGCAACACGCAAGAGCTATATGTGATTTGTTAGATGCTCCAAGTAATAGATCACATATTGAAGAAACTAACATATTTAGCCAATTTGCAGAAAAGGGCAGGCATTAACAGATGAGTTAAAATTGAATCATATGATCTGAACTCCAAACAAGAACTACATACATGATTCAATCATCCAAGTGGATCTTTAGATTAATTGCCACCTGCTCAAACTACCTCTGCACATGCAACAAATCAATATGATTGACCCAAGTGCGATAATTGGAAATGTCAACTCAACTCAGGTGACTTTTGCATACTCTAGGTAGCATGAAGCACTATGGCTTTTAGAATTAGTGATATACAAAATAGCATGGAA